GTACTTATTATGACAACAATGTTTAGTTAACATTTTTACGTAGGTATATTCTTGCTATTCTCGGAAACCGCGCTGCATTTATTATAATTTGAATAAACTTGCTGAAATATTATGCATATATAGTTATCATACAGAGCTGATCATTGAATTTTTTATTTGGCAATTTCAAAAGATCTTTATTATTGTTTATTATTGCATCGACAAAGCGTTGACTATAAGGTGACTATTTAAAGAGTCCGTCGTATGACAAAACCACAAGAAAGTTTTTGAGATAGTGAAAAGATATTTTTGAAGTTAGACTGTGTATTACAACAGTTTTTTATTTTTTAATGTTTGGACTTTTATGTCACATGGGGACGAAAGAGACTGTTTATTTCCCGAATCAATACCGACGTTTCGCTTTTTAGTAAGACATAAAGCTTTCATCAAAGCTATAATATGTTCAAGAATTTTCTGTGCCCCCGTTCTACTAGCTTTTTTTCAGATATTGTTATAGATTATTAAATTATTAAAAAGAAAACTTATCTAATTAGTAGAGTTATTACTACAGCAACCTCTGCAAAAGGTGAACATTTGCTAAAGAATATTCCACAAATTTTTTGACTAATACAAAATTAACTGCCCCTGGGTAATTTAAGGTATATTTTAATTCAATAAAAATACGTTTTAATTGAGGTCTCATTAGGTATTTATAAATCATCACGTAAAAATATTATTTATTCTGTCGTAAGTGAGAAATAAAAAATTAATCTGATTATTCCTCCACCTGCTTCTTTTTGTTTTTAATCAGCAAAACTGGTAATAATCGAAATACGATTCTTTTCTTCATAAATATTTAAAGTACCTACAAAAATAGTAAGTATACGGTAAAGTTTTTGCATAATATTGATTTTTAATGATATGTAGAAATCTCCAAACGGCAAAAGTGATGAATGTTATCCCTATCTAAATCTAAACTGTCGATACATTCATTTGATCCAAAATATTTGATAGGGTCACTAAAAGGTTGAGTCATTACCAATAACCTTTCAAAATCACCATTTCAAATGAAGTACTAAGAAAATTCAAATGAAAAGTAGTGTGCCAAACACTTTCAGAAATATATTTAGCAAACCAACTTAATTTCAGGCTTCATTAACGTTAAAAATATTTCGCAATTAACATACTACGCCTAATTTGCTACAATGAACAAAACGCTTAGTAGAAGAGTAACAGTACATACCAAAATTAAGTTTAAATTTCTTATGCGATGAACAGTGATGCTGTAACATTTTTTTTCTTCGTGCACTGGGTCCTTTAATAATAACACCAATTTGACATAATCTATGATAATATCTTAATAAGCCTACTTCGTAAGGAAAACGCTGATAATTTAAATAATTATGTTTTCCATAACTAACTCAGTTATTTCCAGCAACTGCTGCAAGTTCGATAAGCGAAATGCGTATTTTAATGAGGACGGTCAGGGACAGTTTTTCTGTTAGCAAACATAAATAGATATCACATAACCATCCCCATTACGTAATTATTTGACGAAAATTTGAAGCATCTTTTGTGAAAGCTACAAAAAAGAAAACAACCACCCGATTTAGTTAATAAGGTACTGCAACATTTAATGATCATGCGGAAGGAGAAAACAGCTGCACTCGACGAAAGAGCTTACCGATTCTTAATTAAGAAACTTGTACTTCTAGTAAAACCGAAACATTTTGTGGCAATACAAAAGTCTACCATGGTTATGTGTTTATAGTTTTTACAGTAGGGTTTCGTTTTTATCTTAATAAGATGCCATAAAATTCCACCTATGACGAGCTCGGAATAGTACAGAGACATGTGTTTCTTGTTGCAACCTCTCAAGCACTACAGCTAGAGATCTCAGATTTATTAAACATTTCGCATGTAAAACTTCAAAATAAATCCAATGCCACCGCTTTCGTCCTCTTTGAAGGAGTATATATAAGGATACTCACAGTTTTATACATACGTCCGGCCAACAAGCCACTTTGAATCATTTTGTACAGCCAAAAGGCCCCTTGAACGTTGAGAATCGTTAAAATCATTAAGTATTAACCATTTTAGAACGTAATGTACCAAATAGCTTGGTATAATTGTCAAACTTCAGCAACATTGTCGCTTCATTGGAAGTTCTACATGAATCTAATAACAGACTTAATAAGTAATTAACTGTAGATAAACAAAACAAGCGTTTCTTTTTTATTGATAATTTACTTTTTTAAAACGATTCTGTTACATAAACACCTAGTACTTATTCGTAAAAATAGAATATTTATTGAATCCAGGGCTCCATTTCATCATCGTATGGCAAAGCAAACAGTAACCTGTATATTGTTGCCCCACAAATACCACCCATTAGTTGGCCAAAAATGAAGTACTGAAAGAAGACAAGAGAGAGAGACTTTTATATACTTTTGTTAATATTTCTCTAGGATGGCTTATTTATTTTATTTTTTAAAATGAATTTACAGTAAATTTCGTTTATAACGACAACAAAATAGTCAGACTCAACCTGTACCGGAGAAAGAGTAATCTCTCTAATTATCATAACTCTCACAACTATCGACACTATTTTCTTTAAAAGTCATAAAACGCTCGCATATATGATAGAAAGTACAGCATTTAAGACAATTATTGCACATAGAAGAATTATTAAAATAAACATAAGTGTCTCATTAAATGAGCAAGACCAAGAATTAACATTCAAGACCAAAACCAAGACCAGGACTAGAAATATTTGAGCAAGTCCAA